GTGTCCTTTCAAGCAACTCACTCAAGCTCTCTGATCCCATTTCTGTATTGTTTTAAAAATACTCACTGCCTAAGAGCCGTACATGAAAGCGACTCTGCAAGGTCACTTTCTGCAGCACCTGACTTATAACAGGTGTTCAGTAAATACTCACACGGTATACTACTCGAGTGGAAAGTTAAAATGGGACCAGGTGGGAGTCAGTCACAGATCCAATAGTGTCCTTTCTCACGCAGTCTCTCCACACACTGACTGCCTCCCTCTCTTCCATTAGTAATTATTGCCTGTTGTAAGCAGAATAATAGCACAAAGATGTCCACGTCCTAATCCCCCAATCTGTAAATGCATTGGCTTACATAGGAAAAATTCTCTAAACTTCACAGGTTTAGGTTAGGTTAGGTGGCTTATGATAAATATTTTGAGATGGGAGTTTAGTCCTGTTTAGTGAAGTGGGCCTAATCTGTCAATAGAGTTCTTAAAAATGGAGACTCTTTCCCAGATATGGTCAGAGAGAGCCGTGATGACAGAAGGAGGGTTAGAGAGAAGTGACAGGGGTGACTTTGACAATGGAGGGAGGGAAAAGGAGCCAAGACCTGCAGGCAGCCTCTAGTATATAGAAACAGCAAGGCAACTGCTTCTCCCCTAGAGCCTCCAGAAAGGAAGAGCGCCTGATGACACATGAATTTTAGCCCAGTGAGACCAATACCAGGCCTCTAACCTAAAGAACTGTATGAGTATACATTTATCTTGTTTTAAGCTATTAAGCTTGTGACAATTTGTTACCACAGCTATAGGAAACTAGCACTGACGAGCTCACTGTCACCAAAGGGTATATGTGTTGTCTTCCTGGTATTTAATGTTCAAAAAAAAAAAAAAAGTAAATTGTGAAACACTGATCAAGATAAGCAAAACACCTAGTAGGGAGCCTACAGATGTGAGGCAGGGTTTACACAAACTCCCACAGTTCTGTGCGGAGAGGGATCTACAGTCAGATATGGGGCAGGTGTACCATGTGAGGAAATAGAGGAACTAGGTTAGGTCTCTAAGAAGTTTGACACTAGGGGAAAAGCATGACAGTGACTCAAGGAATTAGCTGGTGGAGAGATGGCTAGTGGTTTGCTTTATTGTATTTTAATTTTAAAAGTCTGTGAACGGAAGGGACAGAGCCAGTGCAGGAAAAGAATGAGTGAGAGAAAGTACAAGGATAGGTTCTGGGGTGGGGGTACAGGGAACCATAGACACACTAGAGATGCTTGTCAGGAGGGTGGGATGACCGAAAAAAGAGGAAGGCGGGAATTCACCTAGAGAAGGAGGTGATACCCTGTCTTGGTATAGCTGGGCATGAGGTTACAAATAGAGTGGAGACCATTTAGAAAAGACACTGGCTTAAGAAAAATGAAAAAAGGTGTGATCCCAGCGCAGATCTGGACTGAGGACAGAAGGGACTTTTGGCAAATCCAGCCAGCAGCTTCCTACCTCCAGAAGCACAAAGCATCCAGGAATGGAAACTGCTCATCCTGTGGCCTGTTCTCGTGGATCTCTGTCAATCTGGTTTGAGGACAGTTATTGACTGTCAGCCTCATTCTGTCCAGTCCTCAACATCCTCCAGCTGGGAGGGAAGCAGAGTTGTTGGGTTAATCAACACCACATGGACTAGATTCTTAGTGCTAACTGCTCAGCACTGATGTGCTGGGGCTGCTCAGCCTGCAATGTACGTAGTCAGTCTCAGCTCCAGTTGAATGCCCTGGCACAGCTTCTGTAAGTCTCCTCCTCCTCAGGCTCCACCTGTCATCCTCAACACACTCCTTGGCTCTCAAGACGGTTTTCTTTATCTACACATTGGTATTATCCTAGTAGATTCTGCGTGTGTCTGTGATGAAGGGCTGCCTCTTGGGGTGATGACCTAGGCTTCTTCCTGCCCTCCTCAGCCTCATTTCTTCACCATCCATCCTTACACCAAGAGGAAGACCTGTGGCCACCCTTAGGCCAGGTCCTCATGACCCCTTACCTGAACTCTCATCCCACCCTTTAACTGTCCTCCTTGCTCACAGACCCCCCCACCCCAGTCTGTCCTAGATACTGTCTTATCAACCTACCTGAGGTTGTGATGTGGCCCAGAAATTAACAATGATTGCTCACTACTGAGCTTTTTGATGTTTAATGCCTGCCTCTCCACCATCTGGCTCTAGTCTGCTGTTCTTACATCTCTTTGGGGGTTACCAAAGCTTACCAAAGCCTCGTGATTCACCACATGTGACTCAAGGCTTCTCATTCCATTAGGACAAATAGAAGGTTCTGAAAGTTGATTTCATAGGCACAGCCCAGATGGTTGGACTCATTCTTTTGTAACTGACGAGAAAATGGGTTTATGAAATCAACTTTATCTTTCAGGTCTAAAGGGCCAACTGAGCTATAAAAATGCAGCTTGCTATTCTGCTTGGAACCACTCACCAGACAAGAAGAACTGTCAGGGGTAGGAGGAAGCCTACCATTGCTTACATGTTCTCTATGTAAAACTAGATTTCTTCCATCTTCTTCACTTACTGTAGAACTGCAATTATAAGGGGGGAAAATCCCCTCATTTCTACAATTTGTTTGCTTATTTTTTCCTATCTAATCCACTTAAAAGGCAAAAGCCCGGAAGTTCACACTGAGGTAATAAAGGACTGATGGTTGATATTTTGGTGAGAGTCCTGGGGGAACGCTGGGTCCCAGGCATTACATACCTTGAAGGCAAGTGGTGGTCAGATGTGGAGAAAAGATTCAGAAAGCCCAAACTTGAGGCCCTGAAAACAAATACAGCACCAGGGCCAGATCTGTGTCAGAAATCCAGACTCAAATTCCATTTTTTTTTTTTTTGACAGTACTAGGGTTTGAACTGAGGGCTTCACTCTTGCTAAACAGGCACTGTACCACCTGGATCACACTTCAACCCTTTTTGCTCTACCATCCTCTTGTTTTACACTTCCTGCTGTTGCTGAGATGACAGGTGGACTCCATCATGCCCAGCTTTTTTTCCATCAAGAGAAAACAGAACTCATGAACTTTGGGATGTGAGCAGGCCTGGAACCACAATCTTCCTGATCTCAGCCTACTACATAGCTTGGGATGACAGGCACATGTCACTGAGCCCAGCTATTGGCCGGGATGGGGGTTTCAGAAACTTTTTGCCTGGGCTGGCCTCAAACTGCGATCCTCCCAATCTCAGCCTCCAAAGGATTACAAGTATGAGTCACTGGTGCCTGGCTTCAGAATTCTATTTTTAAAACACAGTATTTACATGCAAATGCAAAGAACTGAGTTTGCCAGTGTTTTGGGTTTGCATTTAAATCACCTGTCATTAACATTCAGAAGAAAGTATGTCTTTAACTTCGCAAATATGCCAGTATGTTGAAATAAGTCAACATAGGAGTTGAAAAATATTAAGACATTTTAATTCAGTAAAAGGGGTTTTTTCACAAGGACTTAATGTGGAAAAAACAACATTAATTGCACACCCAGGGAGGACTAACATGATCAGGCTCTTAGAACAACTCGTACAACTTTGGGGACAATCACCACATTTGTACAAGGAATTGATCACCACATGTCCACGCGTCCACATTCTTCCTCTGCTTCAAGGTCCAGCTCAAAGCGCCCCTCCCCTCATGAAGCCTTCCTTGTCCCACCTCCCCCACCGCTGCTCTTTCCTCCAGACCCCCACAGCATCTCTTCTGACCCCCACTAACTTCTCTCCAGTCCTCTAGCACCCGTCATGCCACCAGCATGTGGCAGTGAACACAGATACGTTGTAACACAGAACATGCTTCTTTGGACTCTTTACAAAGCTCCCGGGAGACATCAGGAAAGAACTGAAATCCTTATCATAGCATCTCATGCAAAGACACTGTTCACATGTTAGCACACTGTATTTAATACATATCGACATATCAAATGTGGAAGAACGTTCGCAAAAATATGTACACACACTATACGTGTGAGGGAATATGCACAAGGCTGTGTGTGTAACATGCAGGTGGAGTCAGAATAAATGAGACCGTTTTGAGATTGAACGGAAGCCCACGGGCCTCTGACCAAGGCAGGCCCCTGGGTAACCAGGCGTGGCAGACCCTCCTCAGCCGCTTACTCCCTTGGGAACGCATAAGACATCTCACGCTCTCTCCCTTGTTTTCTAGTCCATAAATATGGGACAAAGGGGTTCACGTGGGAGACCGTGAGGCCAAGGCTGACATCGCTGCCAGCTCAGCCTCTCTCCACATCCCACCCAGGGTGGAGTCCTGGCTCCTCCACAAACGGAGCGTGTGACTTGCACAAGGCATCTAACCCTCCCTGCATCTTCTCTACGATGGAGATGACAATGCGGTATTTCCCTCCCGGGGCTGCGTGGGACGCACGCTGTGGGGGACTCAGAAGTACTTAGCAAGTGTTTGTTACCACCACCATCCGCAGTTTTGCCTTTGCTTTCTCAGTGGAACATCTAGCTTGCAGATTGGAGGTTTTTAGTAGACTGGTGTCAAAGCCACATCGTGCAGATGCCGCAGTAGACCCTCCTCCCTCACAAAGCCTGCGTGGTGACCACACACACTCTCCTCCCAGACAGCACGAGTGGTAAGTACACAGATTCTGCGGTTGGGCTCCACAACCTCCACCACAACCTAAGTTCATACAAGGCCAGAAATGTAAACCAGAGCGTCAGAATTGATGACTTTTCCTTCTCCTTGACCAGAAAGCTTTGCAGAAGTAAATACCTAACTAAAAAACCCCAAAGCCAAGAGCAGCTAATCATGCTTTGTTTTCTATTGAAGAACTCCCCTACTTTGGGTACTAGCTTACATTTAAGAATTGCAAAACTGTCAGGGTGTAATTAACCTGTGTTGCTTCATATTCCTGATGTAGCAAGTGTGTAAGACATGATGGCTTTATAAGGGCCCAAAAGCAAGCGGTGAGTGACATGATCGTGTGAACTTCCAGGTACCCACCAGGAGAAGGGATATACCCAGAGGAACAAGGAGAGAGCCAAGGGAGGGAGTTTGAAGAACAGATCATGCTCTGTCCAAAGGCACTTCCATTGCTGTTGGCACTCCATATGCAGCTGGCCATGGCCCTTCCAGTACCTTCTGAACTCTCAGAAGAAAAAGCTGCAAAAATTGTTAAGGTAAATTAACTATCAATTGGCTGTGTGGTTTATTTGCTGACTATTAGGAAATTGTGAGGGCTGTTTTCTCTTTTTTAACAATTTTATTAGCATATAATAGTTGTACTGGGGGTTTCATTGTGACAGTTCCATAAATACTTGCAACATAACTTGGCTAGGTTCTCTTTTTAATCTAAACAGCTTGAAAGAAATTATCTGGATGAGTTTTTTGAGGTTCAACCTCTCCTTTCAATCATTTGGAGGGTTTCAATCCAGCAAGGCTGGCCCTCAAAAACCTAGACATGAAAACAAGCTCAATACTTCAAAGCCAGCTGGGAATCCTTTGAGAAGAAATGGTTTTATAAATAGAAATAAATAAATGAAACATTTTGATTACTTTCTTCCCTAGGATTTTCTCTTTCAATATACCTGCAATCCAGCCACTACATGTTGGGCTGGAGGCATAGCTCAATGGTAGAACATTTGCCCTTGGTTTGATTCTCAATACCAAATTAAAAACAAAACAGTTGGCAGTTACTAGATGTCTGCAACTTCCAACATGGATATTTCTTTGCAGCCAAAAATGCCATGTGCAGAAGAGAGCACAAGGATGGGAGACTCTACTAAGATAAAAATAAAAGCATTGTGCAATCAGGTTCCCCAGCATCAGGCTGCATATTGTTTACAAACTCTTGAAAGCATTATAAAAGCAAAACCAACAGCTTTTCCTCATTGTTTTAGAGTATAAAAGTCAGGCCAAATTTTTAAGAAATACAAGGGAATGCTGTCACAATAGTGTTACAGTTTTAGAAAGGCATTGTTCATAGAATTTTTCATATAATCATAACAGTAAGCTCTGAATTAATAGGTAGAGTCCATTGAGTGTTCACTCTGAAATCTTCTGCTAAGCATTCCATGACAACCCTGTGAAGGGAATTTTAGAGACAAAATTGAATCTAAAATCAGTAAGTAATGTGTCCAAGTGCTCCTAGTTCATCCATGGCAGAGCTAAGATTTGTCAGAACCTATCTGACCCCAAAGTCTGCTGTCATGCCAGGTATTCAGTCTACGTAAGGTGAGATAAAGAAGTCTTACAATTGACTTATAAACGCTTTCATAACGTGACTTCCAAATGAATGCTGTTCCCCTCCAAAGGATTCTCTTGGTAAATAAAATGGTTTATCAATGAAACTGTAGTTCTTCTTTTGAAATTATTGATTCTCATTTGAGATGCACCCTGGTGAGTTGGGACCTAAACTGTTACTTGGTAAGTTCCATCTCTCTGAGCTAGCATTTGCACTAGTGAAAAAGAGGACTGAAAAAGAAAAACTGCATTGATGTAACTAATACCTCAACAGAAGTTTAAATTTGTATGTAGAACACAACAGTGGAAGGACTCTATGGAACTCAGGGAAGGAGGGAAAGGCAGAGAGAATGATAGAGTGTCAACAATATCAAAAGCATGACATCTGTGAAGGTAGAGGATGTAAGGATGTATACTGAAAGCTGTTGAAAAATGGGGGAGGTGGGAGATAAAGGTTGGTAGGGGAGAGTAATAGAAGGGGTTGAACGGACCAAAGTAAAGTAGACTCACAGCAGGGACGCAAATGGAAACTCATTGGAACATCAACTTAAATATTAGTAACGAAAGACAGGACTGTAATATAGGTACAGTTGGGGGGATACTTGTGGGAGAGGAGATGATGAATGCAGGTGAAGGTGAGGGAATATGGTGGACGGACATCATAGACTTATATGAAGCAGAGCAATAAAACCTCTTGCAGTTGCTTTAAGTGGGGCAGGAGGGGGAGCGAGGGATAGTGGGGGTGATCTAACCAATGTACAATGTAAGCCTATTAGGAATTGTCGCCATGAATCCGCCTGTACAGCAAATATGTCCTTTAAAAAAAAAGTGCGATTCTTATTTTTAATAAGAATAAGCAGGCTGTACAGTAGTTTTCTGTACGTGAGGGGTCCTCGTCAGCTCCTTAGAAAATCACTTTATGCATAAACACGAACCAGAGAGCTGAACAGAGGGCTGTTCTTGCTAACGGGCATCGTTCTCTCCAAGTTGTCATTATTCCAGCATCTGACAGGTTACTAGCTCTGGTTTTGAGCTCTGCAGTAGCTTAGAAGGAATTGCAAAATACCCAGAGAACTGAAAGCAGTCTCACAGCAAGGACCCTTGTATGCTTATCTCATCCAGAACTATCTGGAGAAGTTCTACCACTTACCAAGTGGCCAATACCAATCTGCAAAGAAGAAAGGCGCTAGTATGATTACAGAAAAGCTTAAAGAAATGCAGCGATTTTTTGGGTTGAATGTGACGGGGGAGCCAGATATGGAAACTCTGGAGATGATGGAAAAGCCTCGCTGTGGAGTGCCTGACGGTGCTGGGTTTTTGTTAACCCCTGGAAACCCCAAGTGGAAACACACTGATCTGACTTACAGGTGACATTTCTAGTTTCAGACCTCATTCACTCAGCCTGTAGTGATGATCTTATGACACTGTTCTAGGACTTGGGATATACCAGGGACAAATATATAAATGTCCTTGTCCTTGCAGATTGTGAATACTGAGCAAATACGAGAATGAAGGGGTAGAGCTCCCCTGGGTTCTTTTAACTCTAAACCATACCATTCTTGTCTTCCTTCTCTGACAATCTAAAGAGGACTGTGACAGTATGAGACTGTCTCTCTAAGAACTCACTTTTCGACTAAGAAAAAGCTTAATCATTCCTAGAAAGAATGTAGCCTCTCCTTTTATACGTCTTGGTAATAATAATGACAGTACCCGGTGTCTGTGGAACAAGACAAGTAGTAAATTAAATGTTTTACATGTATTTAATCCCCACAACAACCATACAAGAGGGATCCTACTTAGTTATCCTTATTTTATGAATATGGACACTGAGGCTTAAAAGACATGGAGTAACTTGTCCAGACCCCTGTCTGTCTTCAGTCCTGGGACTTGCCCTCCCTCTTATACCCCCTCCAGTGGGCACACATTGCACGTCTACCTCATTCATGTGCAAAATAGAGCAACTCAGTCTTCTGATGGAAGGCTGTTCTAAACAACAACACGTGCTTGATGCACCTTCTTGTTTTGAAGGATCATAAACTATACCCCACAGCTGTCAGTGGCTGAGGTGGAAGCCGCCATTGAGAAAGCCTTTCAAATCTGGAGTGTGGCATCACGCTTGACCTTCACCAGGATCTCACAGGGAGAAGCAGACATCAACATTGCATTTTACCGAAGAGGTAGGCTCACAGCTGTCATGCTCGTTTTGCTTTCCCTGGCTAACCTGAGACTCGGCAGGGACTCACCTCAAGTTGCTTCATTGCAGATCATGGTGACAATTCTCCATTTGATGGGCCCAATGGAATCCTTGCACATGCCTTTCAACCAGGACAAGGCATTGGAGGAGATGCTCATTTTGATGCCGATGAAACGTGGACCCAAAGCTCTATGAGTAAGTTCACCCCATTACAATCTGCACACTCGTGCACGCATACTCACCCACTCAAGTTACTGTAATGTTGGAAACAGCCGAGAAGATCATTTAAATGCCTTGTACCTAAAGATAAGCTGTCGGGTTAGGTTTTTTTAAAAATGCCAAAACTAATTACTGACCTTATTTCCTAGGGCAGTAAATCCATTTGTGCTGCTAAAACAGAAAACCTGAAACTAGACAATTGATAAAGAAGAGAAATTTATTTCCTCATGGTCTTAGAGCCTGGGAAGCCCAATCGCAAGGCGCTGGCCTCTGGTGAGGTCCTTCTTGCTCATCCTCATGTGGTAGAAGGAAGAAGAGCGAGAGAGGACAAAAGAGAATGAACTGGTGCCTCGAGCCCTTTTCACAATAGCATTTATCTAACTACTTCCCCTCGGGTCCCACCTCCCAACACTGCTGCACTGTTGATTAAGTTTTTCTCACATGGATTTCTGAGACATTCAAACCATAGCAGGCAGGGATCCAAAAACTCCAAACCCTGGCCAAAGCCTGCCTGACCCCTGCTTATATAAAGTTGTACTAAGGAAGCCACACTCATTTGTTTATGTGTCATCTATAGCTGCTCTCCCTGGCAGTGGCATAGCTGCAACACAAACTATGTAAAGGTCACATCTTTTTTTAATATTCCAAAACTGAATGATGCTTGAAAAGGCCTAGTCTTAAAATTTTTAGAAATCCAAAAATAATCAGATTCATTCATCCTCTAGAAAAGAGCAGCTGCATTCTCTCCTCTTGTTTCATTTTGTGGAACTCTTTTTCAATGAGACATAGCAAACCACTTCTTTTAGGAGAAAGCTAATGATAAGAAGGGCTGGGCTGCCTGGAAGGAAGAAAAGAACTGAGAGTAGGTAAATCCAGACCATGTGGTGGTGTTGACTGACAAGGCTGTGGATGACAATATGCCACAGAACTTTTTAAAAAATAAAGGACAGATACATTTTTCCTTGTTGAGCATCTGTTTTTCCCACCATTTTCTCAGTGTCAGTGTTGTCAGTGTCTGCTCTACCTAAGTCCCTGAGCTAGGAGTTGTATGTAGCCAAAGATAAATGACTTTCCATGACTTTGTATTCCTATAGCCCTGCCCACTAATGTAAGTGGTCATTACCTCTTTCCTATACTTACTGATCAGGATTCCTGTCTATACTCTCTCCCTCCAATCTCTGCTCTAATTTTCCTAACATTGCAGAAAAGTTTGTCTTTGGAAAGTCAACCCTGGGTTATATTACTCTCCTGCTTCAAAGTACCAGTGTTAATATAGTTTGCACCAAGTCATGTCCTAATTCTTTCACTTGGCACTGAAGGTCCTGAGTGACTTTCCACCCTCATCTTTCTTGGCTTGTCTTCATATTTCACACACACCAGCCTCATTGTGCAGTGACCGTTTCTAGGTCATCTCCTGCCCTTTCCATCTCCCCTGTCTTTGCTCACATTGCTTCCTCTTCCTGAAATTCCCTTTCCATGCCCTCAAAACCTACTTTTCAAAATCTGTCTTTCATCTACCCTTTCTATGACAAAGGCCACCTTCTAGTTTATCTTCAACAGGAAATGAGACCTTCTCCAAAGATTGGACAGCCTTTCGTATGCCATTTCTAACTGTTCTCTCTCATGATTCTGTACATACAAGTTATTTGCACATGTAACTCCCTTTTTTCATTCCTGGAGAGCAGAGAGTGACCACAAATCTCCCACAGCCTCTTGCACAATTATCTGGGCATTCGAGGATTTTTTTAAAATGCATTCCTGAATGCATGAATGGAAGGATATGATGATAAGAAAGCAAGTCTTGGAGCATGGGTAGAATTTGGCTAGAATGATTACCGAAAGGAAATCAAACGTTTTGGGAAGGTCATTGGTCTTTCCATTATACTGGGATTTGTCCCCAGATCTACTTACTCATTTCAAGACCAATAATAAGATATCCAAAATCTTTAGGCTTTAGTAACTTTCTGTAAAAATATTGCTACTAAAACTTCACAAAAATGTTTTCAGGATTAAACATTATTAAGCTGCCTAGCGTGTGGTAGGTACTACATAATGATGTTTTTTTAAGTAGGCTTGTAGGAAAATGCCCGGTGTGTTTATGAAGAAGGATTATACATTGGCTGGACTAAAGGATTCACACCAGAAGTCAAGCCCTCAAATCTGTTCCAGAACCAGATGCAGGAGAGCTTAACAGCCAGGAAAAGGACCAGGGTCTGGATTGAGAGGAAAAGGAATCTTTGGGAGTTTTAAAGTTCCCAGTTGGGAAAAGCACTCTGCTGTTGGAAATTTAAAAGTACAGAAAGGAAGCAATAAGAGGCAGGTTAATCTATCTCCAGTGGAGAATTCCTAGAGCTGCCTGGACAGCATGGAAATAAGGAAGGACCATGCTAGACTATGTGGATTAGGAGGCCTGTGTGAGTCAGCTCTGCATCTGAGGCTATTCCAAGGCTAGGCAGCTTTCCTTTCTAACTATCCATCCCTGAGACTCTACTAAATGAGACTGATGGCCCAGGACACTGGAGAAGATGTGGCAGCACAAAGAGAAGGGTCCCTAGAATCATGAATCCACAGCTCTACAATCGTTTCTCCAAGCTTAGAGTCTATTCCATAAAATGTGCACAGTGGAATAAAGGCAGCTTTCTTGACTAAGACTTGATAAGAAGGTTATAGTCACCTAATCTCAACTTGTGACCCCTACCTCCATTCCTCCCAATCTCCATTAAGAAATGGAATCTGGAGAGAAAATGGAAAAGATGAGCTTGAGTAGGATGTCCCCATGGGAAGTTCTGGCTTTAAGATTGATCTTTGAGATATTTCTGCCACTCTCAGATCCACTTGGAGCTATTCACCATACATCCTTTTATTTTAGATTACAACTTGTTTCTTGTTGCTGCTCATGAATTCGGTCATTCCTTGGGGCTTTCTCACTCCTCTGACCCTAGTGCTTTGATGTATCCCAACTACGCGTTCAGGGAACCCAGCACCTACACACTCCCTCAAGATGACATCAATGGTATTCAGGCCATCTACGGTAAGGTTACTGGAAGAACACGATGGGACCTGGGAACAGCCCCCAACAGGCCCAGCATCTGAGCATCTCTCCCTTTGAACTTCTCTAGACTCTGTCCACAGGGCAAGCTCAAACTGAACTCTGAAAGTCACCAGTAGTAAATACACTGTTAGCAAAAGAGACCTGTGGGAGCAAGCCTCTTACATGCTTACTTTGCATTCTTGGTTTTTAGTTAGGTATTTACTTTACAGCTTTAAAGAAGAGGGTAGAGGCTAAGTGTGGTGACACAAACCTACAATTCCTAGCAGGAAGCCGAGGTGGGAAGGTTGCAAGTTTGAAGCCAGCCTGGGATACATAAATGAATTTGAGACCATACTGGGCTTATGCTATAGAATAAAAGACTATTATCAGATCCTTTCTTGCATGTGAATTTTGGTGGAGGAGGAGGAAGTTGATAGGGAATGACTAAAAACACAGAAAGAGGAGCCAAGAAGGGGGAGAATACTAGGATTAGAATTTACAAGGGAGGAACATAGAATTCAAATTTCTTTACTTTCCAACTTAACCTGTAACCAAACCTGAAGACCATTATTACTCTTACTAAACGAACTAAAACTTGAAGGAGGTCAAATGCACAGTGACCTTGGTGCCCTGTGGGATAGTCTGATAGCTTTTCTCCTCATGTGAAGACCCTTTGCCTTCCTAAGAAGTATCTGAAGTCCACTGAGTCAAGCTTAGGCTTTTACTTTTCCCTCCAGGACCTTCAAGCAACCCGATCCAACCTACTGGACCAAGCTCACCTACAACCTGCGACCCCCGACTGACATTTGATGCTATCACCACCCTCCGTGGAGAAATACTTTTCTTTAAAGACAAGTATGAAACTGAACTAACTGAACTATTCCTTCCTTTTACTTCTGTAGCCAACACTAGAGCAAAATTCAATTCTATCTAAATCAGTCAAGGAAAATAGACACTGTCACTTAACCAGCTATGGGGTAAATTCTCAAACTGATTGAAATTTTCATTTTTTCTACCAACCATTTTGTGATTGCAGAATCACAGGTTGAATGTGTGTGCATTGCTTTTGTCAGCAATTATACATCCTCATCATTTAGCAGATACGATGATGGTAGATACTAACAAAGTAAGATTTGCCAGTGTGTGAAGTAATCAAATAAAATCACTCCTGTGACCTGCGCCCAAAACTGTAAAGTACTCACCATATGGACAATGTTACCATAAAACCTGGCCCTGTGCTGATCACTGCACTGGAAACTGCACACATTGTATTGCTATATCCTCCAGCCATCTTATAAGGGCCATGTCTAGTCTAGAACCACAGAAATGTGACTCCTGACACTGGTGTGTGTGCATGTGCATGTGTGTCTCCTTGTATTTCACTAGGTTCTTCTGGAGACGACACCCTCAGCTGCGACAAGTCGAACTCAATTTTATTTCTCTGTTCTGGCCATCCTTGCCAAATGGCATTCAAGCTGCTTATGAGGATTTTGATAGAGACCTAGTTTTCCTATTCAAAGGTAACTTCCTAAATATTTCTTATGTTAGTTCTTCCTGAAGAGTGGGGGCAGGACTTCCTTGTGGTCCACTGCAGGTTCAGAAGAGGTGAACTAAGGAGAACCTGGCACCAGCCAGGCTCTTGCCAGGAGTCCAGGCTTGGCCCCAGTGTGGCCACTGACCACCATGTGAACTTGAGCAGGCTATACCTTCTTCAGACCCTAATACTCTCATCAACGAAATGAGAAGGTGACATTAGACCATCTTTAGTATTCCTCCACCCTCCTCTCAGACATGACTTTGTAGGATTTCTCAAGGCTATGACTTAGTATCTGTGTAGAAGTCACAGGACATAAAACATTAAGTTGTAGCATAAGGAGTTTGGATGTTTTTGTAGGCACAGGGAGGAGCCATAGGGACGGCTTTCAAAGATGATCTGTTCCATTTTCATTTGTATGATGACTTTATACAAGATCAAGAAATGGTTTTGATTATTTTCTGAAAATGGAAGAATTTTATTTAACATAGAACCTGAATCATTGACAGGAAGCCAATACTGGGCTCTGAGTGGCTATGACATTCAGCAAGGTTATCCAAGGGATATATCAAACTATGGCTTCCCAAGGACTGTCCGAGCTGTTGATGCTGCTGTTTCCTTTGAAAGAAAGACATATTTTTTTGTAAACAACCAATTCTGGAGGTAAGATAATATTGTTTTTCAACAAGAAATTGAAACCTGTGTTTTTCTGTCCTGCCTGCCAAGCGCTAACAGCCAGACACCTGCGGGTCTTAAAAATCTAGTTGGCCTTTGATAGATTTAACGAGAATGTATTCATTTCACAAGATGATTGTGAAATTTGATTTTTTATGTATTGAATAAAAATTTTTAGTTTTAATTTGAATATTTAATGTTTTATAATATTAAATGGCCTGTACAAAATAACTGAGGATTCTGTACCATGAAATAGTGCACATCCTCATAAAGCACTAAGGTGAGATACAAAGAAAGATGTAGGCAGATTCACATTCATGAACAAAATTCTGACACACTCAAGCAAATGTCCAGGCAGCTTGCAGAATTTGGTGCACAAGATGAACCTATTCACATTAATACACACACACACACACACACATACACATACACAGACATGTTGCATAGCAATTAAGTAAAATCCTTAGAAAATACAAGCTCTTGTTTTGGTAAGTAACCCCACATCAGCAATCAGAACCCTGTTTTAGAATTAATGGAGCCCATATGTTTTACGAATAAGTGTGTACCCTTAAGTAGAGAAATTAATCATTCCTTAGGACATTGTGAAGAATGAATGATAACATGTGTGTAGTACTTTGTAACAAATATGCAATTAAAAGAAAACTGTTATTCTAGTCTATGTTGGTTTTAAATCACGTGACATTTTGTTCTTATTAGGTATGATAACCAAAGGCAATCCATGGAGCCAGGTTATCCCAAAAGCATATCAAGTACCTTTCCAGGAATAGAAAGCAGAGTGGATGCAGTTTTCCTACAAGATTGTAAGTAGGAAAAAAACTGTTAATAAATTTCTTTAAAATTTTTAAATAGCACATTTGCATTTGACTGCTATATTGGAATGGGAGGCAAGGATTTTTAATTCAAGACATCTGAGACCTTCTATAAGCTAATTCAATAAATTATTTCTTTCTTGTAGACTACTTTCTTTTCTTCAGTGGACCAAGATATTATGCATTTAATCTTATTGCTCAAAGAGTTACTAGAGTTGCAAGAAGCACTTTATGGCTGAACTGTAGATAAAACTGAAGCAAAATCAAATATGCTCGTATTCTGAATATGGCGGGGAAACCCAACGTGCATACCACCACTATATGTCCTTGTACACTTCTCTCAATGCTGAACAATGTTGCTTCTCATCACTTTTCCTCATTGAAAAGATGTTTGCAATGTTCCACTGTTGGCAGAAGCTGATTCAGTTTTTCCATAGTTCATCTCAGGCTAGTGAATCCATCACAAGAGAAGGAAGGCAAGTACTCTTGTCACCTCAGTATTCATAATCTCATTACTTGTATATCTGACTTCTAAAATGCACCATTTTATCACTTGCTTCTCTGACTTCAAATATTCTTAAGTCTCTTCAAACATGTCCTACATATATGTGCGTTACTTTTCTCTCTTGGAAAGAAATATGGATAATGTATGCTGTGTTTTGAATCATGTCAACCCAAAAAGGTTTGCTGACGTCTTCACCCCAGGTACTGATGAATGTGTGCTTATTTGGAACCAGGGTGTTTGCAGCTGTAATTACTTAAGTAAAGATAACATCATTACAGATCAGAGTGGACCCTAAAACCATATGGTTTTTGTCTTTATAAGAAGAGGAGAGGGCTCAGTGGTAAAATACTTGCCTACCATGCATTAGACCCTGGGTTCAATCCTCAGCACCAGCAAAACAAGAAGAAAAAGAACAACATGTCCATGCAGGAGAGAAGGCCGTGCAAAGACAGAGGGGCAGAGAATGGAGTGCCACATCTATGATCAAAGCGTGTCAAGGATTGCCAGGGGAATCAGAGGAAGAAACATCATCAGGGAGAAGATCCTGGACCTGAGATTTTGCTGGTTTGGGACTTCTCCAGGTCTATAAGACAACAAATTTCTGTTGTTTCAAACCCCTGAGATTGTGGTACTTGGTGACAGCAGCCCTAGAAAGCCAACATAGCACATCTGCACTTAAGAAAAGGAATCAGCACTGAACCCCAAAGTACAGCCCTCCCCCCTAAGGATTCCCAGGACAACCTCCAAAAGGAGAAGCTCCACTTTCTCTCCTGCCTCCTTCCAGCTCTCTGCTCCTAGAGGCCAAACAAATGGACTCCTTAGCTCTTTGTTTCATGGGGTTCTCAGGAGGGGCAGATGACAGGGATTGAGCACAAAGTTCAATAAATTTCATTAAATCACATTAAACTGAGCTTCACTGCATAAATTTGCTAATAGCTCTTTTCTGTTAAGAACTTGAGGACTTGTGGTACTACAATGTCTAGTCTAGACATCAAAATCCTATAATGACATGCTTGCAGGTATCAAATGCAATACAGCTTATTATACAATAAATATATGGACTATTAAGTATGTTATTCACTAACACATCCTGTTTCCACTCTCTGCTGATGTTTTCAAATACTACAGATAGTTAATATGTTGTCTTATTCTAATTCAAAATTATCTATGAAATTAGTTCAAAGCAATGGTTTTTATTTTAAATGACTTGTGAACTACTTATAATTTCTTAAAATACCAACACATAATTCACACAAAGTACAAAAAGGGATAAAATTTAGATAGATTTGCATCCATTTATTCTCTTCTCAAAATTATTATAGTATCAATAATAAATTTTAATAACTTTCACAGTTTATGAATATTCTATTAATACTTTGTCCCCCCAAAATTCCCACAAATGTGTCAAGCACATTATTCTCAATTTATTTTATGAGTTGAGAAAACAGAGACTACTATATACTACTCATCTGGTCACTCATTTATTCAGGAGGAATTAACTAATCACCTAAAAGAACCTGGTGCTGTTCCAGGGAAAGTGAAAGAGATGTCCAACCAATTCTTTACATGGACATATCAAGTACAATAGGACCTATAAGAGTGGCAGATGACATTTTTAACTGTAGAGTCACTTTCAGGTTACCATGTTTTCTACAACTTCCTATGATGTCAGTTCTGAAAGGTATAAAATGTGAGATGTATTTTCTCAGAACACCTGCTAGCTGCATAAGCTAGTCATACAGATTCTTGACCCAAACCTCATCTATACATTTTGGAGATGACAACTGAGTCATGTTATTTTGTTAACTATATTTCAGAGTCACAGGAAGTGAACTGCAATATAAAGTGTAGAAAGAGTTCAAAAATTTATTCCTTTTTAAAGTTATCCTCTTGACTGTGTGTGGTATGTCTGTCCATTGAAGTTTTATGTGAGTACAAGACATAAGGCTCTAAGCTTAGGATTTAAATAATGAGATTCATTTTCATTTAGGTTGAGTTTATTCAAAAACCCTAAGTCAAGACTTTGGAACAAATATTTTGGGAAGAAGGACATGGTCCCAGGAAGTAAGAGTGAGGTCACAAGTGGAATAAGACTGGGAAGGAGGAAAAGCCAACAGTACAAGTATGCATGGTCAAGATTTTTACTCTGGGTAGATCAGTTCCACCAGGGCCTCCTGAGAAGCCCACAGAATACCTCTCAGTTGTTCACATCTCCTGTGGACAGGAGGCTAGAATGTTCATCTTCAGTTCCCAGCCCCCATTGGGTATGATCTCTGGGAATGTTTACTCCTTTACACTTCTGGACTGTTGACCTGGCAGCTCAGTGGCACTTCTATGGGAGAAAGCAGAAAGACACACAGCATGTGCTCAAGGTAGGACTTTGTCAGAACAAGGTGAGTTACACAAACCTGCTCACCATTGCTGCAGCTTAATCAGCGGTGCACAGAAGGGATGTAACATAGGCCACAAGAGGCATCCCCCAGGATTGATGTTGGAAGATTGAGATGATGGGAAATTTGGAGGAGTCCTACATCCTTCTCTGGAGAAACTTACCAGCCCAAGATAAAAATGTTTACAGAGATTGATACTGGAGAACTCTAAGTGTGACAGAGATGCTCATTACTTGCCTGACATCCATTTTCCACTTCCTCTTCTGTGATGAGACCCCAGGCTCATTAGTGGTAGCAATACATCCAGATAAAAAGTTGTACTTTTTAGCCTTGTTTACCACTAGATGTGGTCATGTTTTAAATTTCTACCCAAAATGTATAAGCTGAATGTCATGTAGTACTTCTCAAAAGAAATGGATGTACTCCCCAGTACAATAATAATAACAATAATAATAATAGTTTTTTAAAAGAGATTCCTGTGTAGTGAATAATTGTCACAATAGACAGGGATTGTAGAGCCTGCATTCACTTCCAGAGAACACAGCCTTCACTAGAGACCAAGGGCAATATCTTCATGTTGAATGTTCAGCCTCCAGAATTGAGGTGATCTCCATGCAAACTTCAGTAAACAAATGCTGGAAAGGCAGGAGGGCCCTCAGCAGGCAGGGAATAAGATGTACCTGGAATAAGGCAGGTAGTGGTCCAAAAACTCATCTCCTGAGCCAGTGAGCAACATCCAAAGTCAAACGACACCACAAAATTTAAAAACAATCAGCAAGCCATCACAACACACTGACAGCAGGGGGCCAGCTGACAGATCACTGACCCTGCCCCAGTGAAAGGGAGTGAGGCACAGAAACAAGCCCCCAGTAAACAAGCACAGAGAAAACCCAACTCCAAAGCAGGATGGCTGGTGGGCTACAGAGCTGATTCCAGAACCTGAAGACAACATACAAACTTAAACTGCCACACCTCACTGGGGGAGGAGCTGACCAACCAGCTGCCTCTGAAAGACAGAAGAAGAAAAAAACAAACACTACCCAATCACCCGGGGAGACTACAACAGAGCTTCTGCTTAAAAACCAACACCAAAACTGGATGCTGGAGGAGTAAAACCAGAACTTAAACTAAGACTGAGATTCTATTGTTACTCAACCTGGAATTTTTGTTTGTTTGTTTTGTTTCTTGTTTGTTCATCCCTCCCTGTTGATTTCTTTGGGTTTTTTTTTTTTTTTTGGTTAGTTTTACTATTGTGAATTAGCTAATACTAAATTACATCCAGACCAGGGACAGAAATAGCACATACACACTTAGCTACAAACCCAATACAGTCACAAAACAAAATTAAACCAAGGGAAAGAAAACAGGTGACTGAAACCACTGAAGCCAATCAAGAACATAATTGCACAGTACCAAGTGGAGCAATGGGAAGACAAAAAAGGGATGGAAACCATTCTCCCCCCAAAATAATTTAATACAGGATTAAGAGGGAAATGAAGAAAACAGATACCCAGCTCAGACTCCAACAAAACAAAGATGAATGACGCCAAGGAACCCAACAATGCCCACAAGAACAACCTCAAAGAAGAAATCCTGCAAGTAATCACTGAGAATTTCATGGAGATGTTACTAGACATGGTTAAACAAAATGTACAAGAGACACTCAAAATATAAAGACACCAAAAAAAAAAAAGAAGAGTATGAGAAGACACAGAAACAAATAAATGAACTCATAGGAGCCCTAAATAAACACCAAAGTGAAACAGAGAACACTATAAATGGGAGATAAATGAATTAAAGACAAAAACAGACAATATTAAAGAGGAAGTGACCCATGATATGGAAAACCTCAGAAAAAAGAATGAAACAGAAATGAAAAACACAATGGAAGACCACTCCAGCAGACTAGAACAAGTGGAAGTCAGAATCTCAGAACCTGAAGATAAAATGGAAATTAAAGGAAAAACTAAAGAGCTTCTAGTCAAACAACTCAAGACCTGCAAAAGGCATATGCAAGAACTCACTGACTCCATCAAAAGACCAAACCTGAGAATCATGGGCATTGAAAAAGGAGAAGTGCAAGTAAAGGGATTCATATTTATATATTCAACAAAATAATAACAGAATATTTCCCAAGCCTAGAGAAAGCTATGCCCATTCAGGTACAGGTACAGGAAGCCTCCAGGACACCAAACAGACTTGACCAAGATAGAACTACCCCATGCCATGTTATCATTAAAACAACAAGTACAGAGAACAGAGAAAGAATATTGAAGACTTAACAGAGAAAAAAACAAATAACATACAAAGGTAAACCCATCAAAATCACAGCAGATTTCTCAATGGAAACCCTAAAAGCAAGAAGGGCATGGAGTGAGGTGTTCTGGGCACTAAATGAAAACAACTTCAACCCCAGGATAATCTACTCAGCAAAACTATCAGTCAAAATACATGGAGCAATAAAAGTCTTCCATTTTTACACTTATCCCAAAATCAGATAAAGACACCTCTAAAAAGGAGAACTAAAGGCCAATCTCCTTAATGAACATTGATGCAAAAATCCTCAACAAAATAATGGCAAACAGAATTCAACAACACATCAAAAAGATTATTCACCACAACCAAGTAGGCTTCATCCCAGGAATGCAGGGGTGGTTCAACATATGAAAATCAATAAATGTAACAAACCACATTAACAGAAGCAAAGACAAAAACCACTTGATCATCTCAATAGATGCAGAAAAAGCCTTTGATAAGATCCAACACCATTTCATGATAAAAGCTCTAAGAAAACTAGGAACAGAAGGAAAGTACCTCAACATTATAAAAGCTATATATGACAAACCTACAGCCAGCATTATACTTAATGGAGAAAAACTGAAACCATTCCCTCTAAAATCAGGAACCAGACAAG